CACAAGACTAATATTAAATATATACAATAGAACACTTTTGCCTTAGGCCAACATGTTTTATAGGAGGTATAACAAAAACGTTCAACGGAAACTCCGTTAATCGTAGTGTATTTATGAAGATAACCTCCTCATGAACAGCACTGTTACCATAGATGTACCCGTGATTATCGCTTTATAACATTTGTTTGTAGACTTCAAGCTAATCATTAAGGTACACAAAATAGTGTTGTTTTTCGAATACTTTTTTATCTGTTGTATCTAGTATCTTTATATTTTAACCTTACCCAGACTTACAGATCTCGTTAAGAATAATATATAAAAATATATAATATCCATTGCGCATCATACAATGTTATACAAAATGTTTTCTGTTTTTCAAATACTTTTTCATCTGGTGTATCCAGTATCTTTATATTTTAACCTTACCCAGACTTACAGATCTCGTTAAGAATAATATATAAAGATACTAGATACACCAGATGAAAAAGTATTTGAAAAACAGAAAACATTTTGTATAACATTGTATGATGCGCAATGGATATTAAAAAGTTGAATAAAGAAGCTAATCTAAATTTGGTTAAAATATAAAGACACACCATTTAATTGTACCCAGATTCGTAAATAAGCTATTATTAAATTAAATGGTGTGTCTTTATATTTTAACCTTACCCAGATTCGTAAGTAAGCTATTATTGAATTAAATGGTGTGTCTTTATATTTTAACCGTACCCAGATTCGTAAATAAGCTATTATTAAGCAATTTATTGTTCTTTTCATAAGTTTTCTGTCTACGAGTGCCAAAAATTATCCTTCTTTCAATGAAACTATTTAACATAACTGATACTTTCAAATTAAAATATTATCACAAGCAGTACCCTCGTTGCGAGCGCCATCTAATGGGAAGTAAACGATGTGTAGAAAACGAAGATTGTGATTACGAAATTCGCCTCTTCGTTTTTCGTAAATCTGAATAAAAATGCTTTAACCTCTCATATATTTATCATATCTTTCTCTTCTAAAAGAATAGTAATAATTACAAAAATTACATTTCTATCTTTAAGAGCCAACAAACAGTATTTATTTATTTTAGATGTTATTTATAATTGAAATGAAAAAAAATGTCTAATCACTTTAAAATTACTTTAAGAAACACCTTACGAAAAGCAATGGCTCAGCGGTAAGGCTGAAGGCTTATAACGCTAAAAACCGAGTCCCTATGCACCTGGTGGGCACTGTCCAAATAGGCCATTGTGTAGCCTTGTGCTTAGAAACAAACAAACTTACGAAAAAATATATTTTGCTTACTACAAATTGTTTACATATTATTTTAACTAGCGTATAGCCTGACAAAAAATGACGGGGCAAATACTACCACCCACATCCCCACCCCATAGTATACCCTAGCTTCACATTTAATAGCTAAGTGAAATAAATAATTTTTGCGAAATCAAGCTTAACCAACAAAAAGAATAATTATTGATAAAAAATCATTTAGATTAACAAGTTCTAACATATAGAAAAGTCTGTTCGTTTTAGTAACACTACGTTCCAACAATGGCTTTTATGGCATGTTACTTAGCAACAAAACTATAACCTAATATTATTGTTAGTCTAAGTACTGAAACTATAGTACACAAATCTGGAAAAATATTTGTTGATTTCTTAAGTTTGTTTCCGTTGAATAAAGATATTTATTTTTATTAAAAACGTTGGTGATATAACAGAAAATAGCTTAATTTAGAAAAAAAAATTAAGTTTAAAAGTGAATCGATATTTTTACTTTCACGATAAATTTTATGCAGTTGGCTCTACGCTAGATAATCTCACACTACGTCTTTACTTTACACTCACTGCACTTACAAGGTTTCACGCCCCCTTAAGGCCTCTTTGCAACCCCGTCACTAAAATCGTAATGGGCAGATAGTAATCGAACATTCTATCTGGATAAATGCATTTTGGCTTTTATAACTCATCCTATTTCGAGAAATCAGGCGTGACGTGACACACACTGTCTTTTATATAGGTTAGATTTATTGGGTACTTTACGTTAACTGATATTATTTTTTAAGTTAATTACAGTAATAAAACTGTTATATAAATTGTACCAGTTATAATATTGTTCGAAAATGTACAGTAACTAGTATAGTAGGAATATACATTAAATAATGGTAGAGTGGAATAATGAGGATAAAATCACTGCTATTATGATCTATGTTACAAGGGAAAAATAAACTGGGTAAAAAATCCAAAGATTGTCATGACGAAGAAAAATGTCCTCCGGTGGGTCAGTGGTAAATCCATGGACTTACGACAGTAGAATTCGGGGTTCAATTGCCCGTGACAGACAGAGTGCAAATAACCAATTGTGTAAACAAGTAAATGACCAACGAGGGTAAATAAAATAAATTTTAAAAATAAATAGTTTTGTTTATTTTTATAAATAAACTTTATTTTATTAAAATTGTGAAAATGATTGAGAGATCTGAGGTTCTGTGTTCTCTCTCAGTGGTTGAAGGTTGCAGATGTAGACGGACTTGGAAGTGCATTGGCACGAATGGAAAAATTTCGCTTAGTTTTCAATATAGTTTGCCTTAAAATCAACGCATTTATTTCTATCAATTACTCTTATACAAAGATAAGTGGGACGACAGTCTTTAATATAAAAGTTTAACCACAAAAATTGCATTCATTTTATCTTGCGTATAAAACCTTCATATTAGTGTCTTAAGTTGCTGAAACAAAA